ACACAGAGAAAGAAAAGGCCAGTAGCCACTTTCACTCGCGATTTAGAGCTGGATTTTGAAGATGGTGAACTTGAAGAAAAGATAGATCAATGTAAGATCTATCCACTTTTGTTGGTTTCATTCGCATGATGTATATACATCATGCATGCGAACAAAACCAGTCATGCATGTATATTGAAGCTGATTTTGTTCGCATGCATGATGTATATTTTTGTTGGTTTCATTCCCATGATGTATATACATTATGCATGCGAACTGTCCCAGCATGCATGTATATTGAAGCTGGTTTGGTTCGCATGCATGATGCATACTTTTGTTGGTTTCGTTCGCATACATGAATTTCAAAAGTTTATATCTGATCATTGATTTGATTAATTAAAAACAAATATTTATGTGTGAGACCCCCAACTAAACCTTAGGAAGAAGACTCGCTCGCATGGAAGGGGTCAAAGGGAAGGGGGTGAATCCTTATTTATATTACCATCATCATCACATGCATGATGAATAAAACATGAAAAATGATCACTTTACTACAGGTTCACTTGCCTCTAAAACTCAAAGCAAAACATAGGTGTTTGACAACAAGGAGTTTGAACGCTAGTCACTCACCATAATGTGGTGATTTTTTGCCACGTAACCTCTTCCCACCAAGGCTCCCAAGCTTTATTAGCAGGCACTCAATTCCTATTTGAAATAACAAGTTGACAGTAATGGTCTTTCATCGTACTCCATCGCATACTGGCCTGCTGCTTGGAGAAACGACCGACAATGGAAGCGACGACAACTTGCTCCTTCGCGAGGCACCTGAACGCCTCAAGACTGAGTCGCAAATGCTTTTGCATTATGTGCCGGTGGCCGTAGGCATCCTTCTTGACGATCGAAGACCTTTGCATTCCTTTGCTTCCAAAGCAGCCATGTTGTGGCGATGACCAACGAGTCAAACCTTCGCTTGTGTGGCTGTCGAAAGGGGGCTCCTCGTCTTCAACCACCACTCCTTGAAGGTATCAACAACATCTGGGATCTCCACGAGGCGGCGGCGGCGGTAGGTGTCCCTCTTGATGGTTGTCAATGATCAGCGTAGAACGCCGTGAATGGGCATGTCCCCGTCCTCACAACGAAGACCAACACTGACCAGGCAGAGCTGTAGTTGGATCCGACCCATGCTGCATGCGACTCCGGCTTAGGGAGCTGCCATGAGAATGGAGTTATCGGGACCATATCACCCAGCGCCCGTCGGGAGGAGCGGGGGTCGAAGGTGACGTCATGGAGCTAGAAGAGCCATGTTGAGCCAGCGGGTGGTCGGGCGCGAGGCCGGAGGAGCCTCGACGGGCTACCGGGTGAAATGATCGATATAGTTGACTAGAGGGGGGGTGAATAGGTAACTAACAATTTTTAGCTTTTCTTTACCAATTTAAACTTTGCATCAAAGTAGGTTGTCTAGATATGTAGGTTGTCTAGATATGCAACTAGGTGAACAACCTATATGATGCAACAAAAACAAGCACACAAGCAAGCAAGGGATACAACACAAGTAAGCTTACAAAAGTAAAGGCCCGAGATAACCAAGAGTAGAGCCGGTGGAGACGCGGATGTGTTACCGAAGTTCCTTCCTTTTGAGGGGAAGTACGTCTTCGTTAGAGCGGTGTGAAGGCACAATGCTCCCCAAGAAGCCACTAGGGACACCGTATTCTCCTCACGCCCTCACACAATGCGAGATGCCGTGAATCCACTATTGGTGCCCTTGAAGACGGCGACCGAACCTTTACAAACAAGGTTGGGGCAATCTCCACAACTTAATTGGAGGCTCCCAACAACACCACGAAGCTTCACCACAATGGACTATGGCTCCGAGGTGACCTCAACCGTCTACGGTGCTCAAACACCCAAGAGTAACAAGATACGCTAGGGATTAGTGGGGGAATCAAATATCTCTTGGTGGAAGTGTAGATCGGGGCCTTCTCAACCAATCACGAGCAAATCAACAAGTTTGATTGGCTAGGGAGAGAGATTGGGCGAAAATGAAGCTTGGAGCAACAATGGAGCTTAGGGATGGAAGAAATGGTCAACTAGAGGTAGGAGACACCCCTTTTATAGTTATGGAAAAGATCCAACCGTTATCCACAAATCCAGCCTGCGACATGCGGTACTACTACACTAGGAACGCGGTACTACCGCAAGGCCACGCGGTACTACCGTGAGGGACCACGGTACTTCCGCGCCAGCAACAGAGACTAGGACATGCCTGACTAAGAGCAGTACTTCCGCGAGTGCGGTACTACCGCTCCCCCTTGCGGTACTACCGCAAGGCAGGAAAGTCCTAGCCTACGAAGGGCGCGGATGAATAAAAATACATCCGTGCCTACTTCCGCTGGAAAAGAAACAGTGCAAATATCCGACGCGGTACTACCGCTAGGGAGCGGTACTATCGTATGGCAGCTGAACCAGGCCGCGCGCGGTACTACCGCGCACGAGGTGCGGTACTACCGTGGAGGCGCGGATGTAAAAAGTTATATCCGCTCCTACTACCGCGAAGCAGCGGTACTAGGCATGAGGGCCACGGTACTACGACTCCAGCGGAGCGGTACTACCGTGGGCTCCCGCGGTACTACCTCGCATGATGAGCGGTACTACCGTGGGGGGGCGGATGTAAAAAATTACATCCGCCCCTACTACTGTACCGCAGCGGCACTTGGCCTGGGAGCCACGGTACTACGACTCCAGAGGAGCGGTACTACCGTGGGCTCCAGCGGTACTACCGCAGGTGCTTGCGGTACTACCGCTCCAGGGAGCAGTACTACCGCAAGCTCAGCAATAACAGCCAGGACAATCACAAAGAGGATAACCGGGGGAAGCTCCAAAGTGCAAGGGAAAGGTGGAGATAAGGAGGGAAACGTGTACGTGATGATTCCACCCGAACCTTTCCGACGCGGACCCCCTCTTAATAGTACGGCTCTCCTACGATTCAAATCCACCAAAAAGAAATGTAGAACAACGCCGTCTTCAATAGTCTTCGAGGGGCACCGAACCGTCTTGTGCCTAGCGATGAAGCGTCTGAGAAACTCAAGGCACTCGATTAGTCCGCAAAAGCATTGTCATCAATCACCAAAACACCTTAGGGATAAATATGCCCTTACAATCTCCCCCTTTTTGGTGGATTGATGACAATACAGGATTTGCACAAAAAGGAGATAATATTGAGCAGAGGCAAACCCCTCCTCTCTAGAATATAGACGGGCTCCCCCTAGATGTGTGCAATCTAGATGGATGCTTTGGACTGCATAGCACACAAACTAGGATCAACACTCCCCCTATATTTTAGAGACAAAGGCATGATTACTAACATCTAAGAAAGAGCATAGCACAATGGTAGCACAATAAATCACAAGCTCGCTAAGATAGATAGAGTGCATAT